AATATTTTTTTTAACATGTTGCCATTATACTAAATGTTTCTGACAAAGAAAATTGATGATAAGTTAATTTGGTAAAATTATTATTCTGATTCATTTATTTATGAACTTTTATTGATATGAGTAAAAAAAATTTAAGACAACAATTGTTTTGGGAAGAAAGGAATATTGTCAAACTTGGTAAAAAAAATGAGTAAGAAATTAATTTGAGTTATCTATAATTTATAATTATAATAAGGATAATAGTATTTTTTTTGTATACATATATTTTTTTTCCTAATTTTATTCTTCTAATAATTTTTTAACTTATTTTACAAACTACTTTCATTTTTTGAATAATTATCTATTCTTATATAAATTTCATTTTTTTTATTCGTAGTGCATTTTCTCTCTCTTTTCTAATAAGTGTAAGAATTTTAATAAGGAGTTAATTATCTATATACTATCACTATAATTTTTTTTTAAAGTGATAATGTATAAATGATTAACTCTTTCCAAAAGAACAAATTAATGTTGGGAATAGTGATATTAGGGAGCAGAGAAAATGGTGGTCAAGGAGATGATTCAGGCTAGGATTCTGAACCGTTTGGGTCCAAAAGGAAGAATTGTAGGAAACTGGGTTTTTTAAAAGCCGACCTTTAGATAGGCCTTAAGGCCCAAACCCATTTCTTTTACAAATAATAAAGAAAATACTACATTTTCATGATTATTTTTTCAAATTTCGAAAAAAAATATATATTATATTTTCATATTTACATTTGCAAGAATGGAATTTCAGTCCGTGAAACAAATGTATTCTAAATAATTGATTCATAAACATTTTTTTATATAAAAACCAAAATATAAGATTTTTCTTTAAGAATTAAAATGAATATATATATATATATATATATATATATACTTACATAAAGAGAGTGAGAGAGAGAGTCTCTTTGATTTTTCTTATCAAGTCCCACACCAGAAAACACAATCTTTTCAAACCTTCCTTTTAAGGAAAGGTCATGATTGGGAAGTCAAATTTATATGATTATATCAGAAGAAAAAGAAAAAAGCTTTTAAGTTTTTATTATAGAGTGAATAGTACTTTGATTTCTGAATTTAGGTGATGTTAGTCATATTAATATTTGAATCAAAGAAAATTTCAAAAAAACTATTTGAAAGTGCAATTATTTTATTACATTAGTTTAAAATTAAAAAAAATTGTGTAAATAAAATAATAATATTGATATGTATTGATAGTAAATAATTAAATTTAATTATTTGTTTAACATTTTATAAGTTATTCAGCATTTTCTTAGATTCGGGGATTGTGACAATGTTCTTTTGAGAACAAAAGTGTCTTATTTACTCTTTCATCGTAAATTAGTTACTTAGTTTGATAAAAGAAAGAAAATGAGGAGATTTGACGAGTGAAAATAAATGAGTTGATTTATGTAAGCAAAGGAGTGAAATATGATAAAATAAATTGAATTTGATTGAGAACTTAAAAAAATAGTTTTTTAAAAAAACAGTGAGGAGAAAAAGGCTTATCTTGTTTTGTTATCAAGTCTCTTGGAAAAATTAATTTTTTTGAACCTCCCTTTCTCTTATATAAATGAATGTTTTCTACGTATTTCAACATCTAAAATAGTAAGCACTAAAGTATTAAGTTTATATCTTTTAATTAAATTTTTATTTTTTGGGGGAGTGTATGTTAATGTCACTCACTGGCTCAGTCCATGAAACCCCTTTTAGGTAAAAACAAACAAATAATGATAAAAAAAAAAGTAAAACAAATAAAACATTAAAACTTAAGCTATTTAGGGAAAACAAATTAAGTATTAAAAAATTATATATTTTGTAAGAAAAATATTAAAGAAATTAAAATCATCAAATTATCAGAATAAAGGTATCTAAAATTACTAAATTAACAAGCCGTCGAGTTTAAAATTTAAATTCATCTTTGTATCTAAGTAAAACTTTATAAAATTTAAGATCATCAAATTAGTACAACTCAAGCATAAGTGTAAGTTAGCATGATGTTACATCTACATTAATTATTAAAAAGATTAAAAATATTTTTTAAAATTTATTGTAGCAATTACACTTTAAAAAATATATATTTAAAAAATGTCAAAATAATCAAATTATCATCACTAAAGTTTCCTTTGAGAAACAGAGTTAACACGGAGTACCCTCATGTAGACTCTCCCTAAAATTTAATCAAATGACAAGAATTTTATACATTGTTTGAAGATTGAATGCATAATTTTATGCATATTGAAACACATAAAAAGTGGTTCTTTATAGAAGAGAACAAAGAGTAATTCTTGACTCTTGTAACTATTTTTCAAAACCTTTTTTTTTTGTTCCCATTAGAATCTAATTTTCTTCACCTTATTTATTTATTTCCTTAATGTTTAGAAAAAATGAGTGTTAAGTATTTACACTATTGAGATATCTATATATAATTACTAAATCCAAATGATGGAACAAATAATAACCCAAAAAAAGTAATCTTTACATTTTCCTAACTTTGTAATTAGCTAAATTCTATCTAGTTTACACTGTTACTCAACACCACCAGTTAATACCTTAAACCTTACAAATGTGAACATTATCACTTCCCAAATTTTAAGCATAAAATTGGGTTCACAAATAATGAAGTATTTAATTAACTTTTATGATCAAGTTTACACTGCACAAACACAAGTAAAAGAAGTTTTGGTGTATAGAAGAACAAGTTTGCAATTTTACTACACATGTCCAAGAATAAACTTGAAGAACTAGTTCAAATAATTTACACAGCAATGAGTATACACAATTATTAGAAACATGTTGAAAGTAATATTGATTTTAATCGTAATGAAGATAAAAACGTAATTCTTGATACAGATGATGATAATTATTACAATGGTGTCAACTTGGGCAAAATCCAAATCCAAATTTTAATTATTCCTTTCTATACCTATTTCAATTATACCAGGAAAGAAGAGACACTATGTGTGTGTTTGTCTATTTTTCAAATAAATTAAAATAAAAATAATAGAAAAGCCTTTTTGGGCTTCTGATCCTGCAGCTTATTGGGCCTGGGCCAGAATTCAGCATACACACGCATGTACCTCACCCCTTCCATGCCTTTCAATGATTTCTTCACCTTTTTCTCGCACCCATAGGCCAGAGCTTGCACACTCCATATTTCCACAGTCTTCAGTAATCTAAATCATCACAAATACTCTAATTAGTAAATAAATATTACACCTAAACAACTCTTATCTACAAATATTGCATAATTATCTAAACTTAAATTATTGAAATTGAAAGCAACAAATTACATAACCGCGTTGTGCTAATGACACGACTCATTCCATATAACAGAGTGTACTAAGAAAGATAAATTACCCAGCAGGAAGAATACGAGAAAAAAGGATTTAAATAATAGACAAATTATGTATATTTATTTCAAATGTTTATTGAGATTCTGCCAAATTTTTTATCATTATTCAAATTGAATCCGTATTATAATTATTAGTGGATAAAAGGCATCGTCTCCTTTTCTTAAATATACATAAATGTTAGTGGTGGTAGTGAGTAATTATTAATTTTTTTAAAAAAATTATATCAATTTTTTTTTATCTTTGTTAATTATTATTATGTAACTTTTTAAAGATTATAATTGTCAAGAAAATATGTAAAGTAAAACAAGAAATCTGTTTTATATATAAGTATAAATAATTATAAATTTAATTAATGGAAGAACAAATTTACTATCTTTTATAATTATTATAATATATATGTTGCAGTAGTATGAAAATATATTATATTTTAAAATAGTTAGCGCTTAATTAGAATATCCTTAAAGTAAATATTTTTGTAAATTATATATATATAATATGATCTATACATTTAATAAGAAAAACATTAAAGTGTAATTATTTTTATCTCCATTTTTTAGTAGACTATTATACATATCAGATGTTAATAAAAATATTTTTTTATATATAATAATTATCCATAATCATGGATTTCACTATCTCTCTCTTTATATATAATAATAATAATAATAATAATAATAATAATAATAATAATAAATATAACAAATGCATTAATGATCAGAAAAAAAGTTTATAAAAATTAAATATACAACTTCATAAAATGACATAATCATCCTTATAAATATACATAAGAAAAATAACAAATAAGTAGAAAACATTAAACATAAAATAAGATAAGTATAATAAAAAAACATGTGAACATTAATAATAAAGAAATCAGACAAAGAATAAATAAAATTACAATAACATCCTTTATATGTCACACCAATATCTCTTATAAGTTCCATTAAGTAAAAACAAAACTTTTTTTATTATTTAATTGCTGTAAATTACTATTCATTTTAACATTTTTGTTATATTTTATGTTTTATTTTTACTAATTTTTATTTGTTGTATTTTTTCATAACATGAAAGTAATTACAACTTTAATAGGTGACTTCTATGAAGTTCTTATTTTTTTTAAATAATCACTAACGATGAATATTTTTACTATATATAAATGCAAATTAAATATAAACTCTATAAATTAGTTTAAATAAAAATTTACTCTCTTTAAAATACTTTTTTTATTTTAATTTTTTACTTCTAATTATTTTTATTTATTTTATTTAAATTTTAATTGTTTTTATTTTAGTATTTTGTTTATTTAGTTCGTATAATATTTTCATTTTTCTATTTTAATCCATGTACTTTTTTTGGTTTTTTTATTAGAACGAATGAACGATTAATATGACAGGGAAGAAAAAAAATGAAACAAAAAATTTGTAGGGAGGAAGATTTTATTTTTTCAAGACTAAAATAAAAAACCCCAGTTTACATAAGTAAAAAGTCATTTAAGAAAAAAATTAAACTGGTAGTTTTCTTTTTAGGAAGTGGAAAGAATTAAGATGTTGGTGAGAAAAAAGAGGTCATAAAGCACAGTAAAAAATAAGTAATAAGGCTAACAGGGGTGAAGTAGGAATAGGGAGAGGTTAAGAGGAGGCATATTCTCCATTTCTCTATTACGTAAATCCCAAGCGGAGACCAGCACGAAGAACAAACACAAGCTTGGTTGGACCGGTAGTTAAGAAGAGGGATCGAAGCCAAGTTAGAGGCAGAGAGAATGATGTTAGACGGAACCGAAGATGAAGACAAGTTTCTGGCCGCCGGAATCGCTGGCCTTCAGCAGAATTCCTTCTACATGCACCGTGCATTGGTATCTCCTCCGTTAAACCCTAACCTCTCTCTTTCTTCCATTCCACGCTCCCTCCATCACGCTAATTTCAGATTCGCCTTTCAAATTCCTAATTCATTGGATCCAATTTCGATTCGTCGCAGGACTCCAACAATCTCAGGGATGCTCTCAAGTATTCGGCTCAGATGCTCTCCGAGCTCAGGACTTCCAAGCTTTCTCCGCACAAGTACTACGAACTATGTCAGTTCCTCTCTCAGATCCACCTTCGCTTTGTTTTGTTTTTTTCCGTTGGATCCTGCAACTCTTTTCTGTCATTGCGAATTGTTAATTGCTGTTTTAGACATGCGCGCCTTCGATCAGTTGAGGAAGCTCGAGATGTTCTTCGAGGAAGAGACTCGTCGCGGTTGCTCCATTATTGATCTTTATGAACTCGTTCAACACGCCGGCAACATTTTGCCTCGACTGTAAGTGGCGGTGTTGCGGATTCCGTTTTTCGTCTTATAGTATTTGTTGATTATATGCTGTTCGTGATATAAAAATATTCTGGAATCTTCTGTTACCATAGATAGTACTATCTTTGCGGTCCCTATGGCGGAATGCGTTTGTTTTTAGGCTTGTTTCTGAACTCTAATTGTGCATTATTTTATTTCATTTTATCTCTTTGTGAAGCAATGTGCCGTCGTGTTGATACTTATGATTCCTACTAATGATGTATTTCCGAGATTGGTATTATTTCGTCATAACTTCTCTCACTGATGCCTTGGCATATGTTTTGGTGGTTTTGAACCTTGTTGTTTACACTGATTTTCAGTGAGAAGGGTTTAATGTTTTGAAGTTTTGCAGTGGTGATGTGTTCATTTTTTCAAGTTTAATATGCTTCTTGCTTGTGAGCTTTTAATTTTATTATTGTGATCAGGTATCTCCTCTGTACGGTAGGATCAGTATACATCAAGTCCAAGGAAGCTCCTGCAAAAGATGTTCTTAAGGATCTTGTGGAGATGTGTCGTGGCATTCAGCATCCTGTTCGTGGACTGTTTCTTAGAAGTTACCTTTCTCAAGTTAGTAGGGATAAATTGCCAGATATTGGTTCAGAGTACGAAGGGTGAGTAAGCAAGGTTTTTTGCTCTCTGCTCCCTTCTTAGGCAGGTTAATCCTCTTTGAGGTTTCTTAGTTGAGTCAGATTTGAAGTTTCAATGAGCTGTGTCAATGGTAGTGAACATTTGGAACCTAAGTGATGGCACCCTAAGCATAACCATTTCTCTATCTGGAGTCTGGACCACCAACCACACTATTATCTCACCGCACCTTTGCAGTGTTGATGCATGATGTCAACTCTTGGTGTCTAGTCTTTAGAATAGTGGATCTTCCTTCTTTGTTTCCTATTTTTAGTTGTTGGTTGGTTTTCTTCTGTCTTTCCGATTCACTCTGGTTTTTGTATATGCCTTGTTTGTGGGGCAGTGCCAATTATTTTAAAGCTGCACCAATTTGAAATTGAACTTCATGCATGAATGCCTAATTTGACAACTGCAGGGATGCGGATACTGTAGCAGATGCTGTAGAGTTTGTAATCCAAAATTTCACTGAAATGAACAAACTTTGGGTGCGGATGCAACATCAGGTTGGTTGAATTGTCTGCACATCATTACAGCACTCATGTTCAGACATGCATGTCGTCACAATAGTTGCACATCACGAGGGTAAAATATATCATGAGGGCATGATTTCTGGACATGCAGGTGTAGTAATGCATGTGAATCATTCATACTCTTAGCTGACCCTGAGTTGAGGCTTGCTGTCGGGCTTTCTGGTCTGCAGGGGCCTGCCCGGGAGAAGGAGAAACGGGAAAAGGAAAGGAGCGAGTTGCGTGATCTTGTAATACCTGAAGCCTGTAAACTGGTTTGCTTCACTACAATGGAGTTGTATACATGATGCAATGCTTATAGAAGGCTTCTCTTGCTTTTTTGTCCTTGATACATTGTTAGGTTGGGAAGAATCTTCATGTTCTCAGTCAGATAGAGGGTGTTGACCTGGATATGTACAAAGATGTTGTACTTCCCAGAGTACTGGAGCAGGTCTAATTGCTTTATTGTTTCTATTTCCAATCATCGAAGACATGGTTTACTATCTAACCAAAAAAACCTATTCCTTTTTCTCAATTATCATGCACAGGTAGTGAATTGCAAAGATGAGTTGGCTCAGTTCTACTTGATGGATTGCATAATACAAGTCTTCCCCGATGAGTATCACTTGCAAACTCTTGATGTGCTGCTGGGTGCTTACCCTCAACTTCAGGCTAGTGAACTTGCATGTTTTTTTGTATTGCTTCCTGGAGGATGCCTTGATGTATATATGTTTTTTCTCCCTCCAAAACATGAAATGTTTTATACATCAAAGAGGGTTGTGAAGAAGCACCAATAAAATATGAAGAAGATACTTATCATAATATTCAGAAAAATAGAGAAAGTAAACATCAATATAGTTAGAATTTTCTGAGTTAGCACATTGTCCGAGCTGTCAAACTATTTCACAATTATCAGTCAGCTGTAATACCGGTAGAGTTAGAATTTGAGGAGGGGCTGTATCTGGTGTCTATAAATTCCAATTTTTTCCTATAGAATATGACTTTAAGTTGAAGCTTGCATTAGTTAAATAATTGAGTGTGTCTGTTCATATGTAATAGATAATAGATGAAAGCCAGCATGCCCTACCTATATTTTGTTGCATTTATTTGCAGATAATGTTAGACTCACTGAAGCATTTTAAATTATATTTTATTTTTGAGATTTATAATTTTCTGATTTATGGTACAGAGGTACTAATAATTTGTTTAAATAAATTAGCATCTGCATTCTAAGTTCTAGTTGACGTCTCATACATCGGACAATAAAGTGACATCAAGGGAGCCACTCTGTGTTGAATGCCATGGTTTTATTAATTAAACATACAATTGTTTTCTCCTCTGGATTAATCGATAAACACATGCTTGACTGTGGCTAGTGTACTTTGCTCCGAACTATAAAATTTACATCTAATTTTCGTTTTATGCTGCAAGTTCCAGTAGGTATCGTCACTTACTATTTTTCTGTTTTTTTTTTTTTTTTTTAACTGTATTTTTCAGCCATTTGTTGATATCAAGACAATACTGTCCCAGTTAATGGAAAGGCTTTCAAATTATGCTGCTTCGAGTGCAGAGGTGTTGCCAGAGTTTTTGCAAGTGGAAGCATTTTCCAAATTAAGCAATGCCATTGGCAAGGTATTTTTTTCCCCATTTGTTTTTATCTCAGATATTATTGTCATCTAGTGCAAACATATGTATCTCTATACTGCTTGCTTCCTAGAAGTCAAGAAGGTATCATGGTTGTCTAATTTTGCAACCAACATGATTTAACCCATAATAACCAATAGCAGGCTATAGCTGAGTGGTGGAGCGAAGCTGTGTTGGACTGCTCAATGGGATTCAAATAGCAGAGCAGTTTTCAATAGGGGCCATTACATCCCCAATAGCAGCCAAAATAGCTGCTTTTCGTGTGCTATAGTGACACTAGCATATAACCTTCAAAAACTCATTTTTACCTCTAAAACACTGATATGAGGGTGTTTTTCGGGGTAAAATATTCCACAAAAAAGTTACCTCTGTTCTTTCACACTTTTTAAGACTGTTTTTTTTTTCATATGTTTTGTTCTTTATTCTTCCTTTATACTTCCTAGTTCACATTCTACTAATTTTTATCTAATTTTTTATGTTTTTTTTTCTATTAATTTTCACCATTATCTTTCATTTTTTTTTTTACTTCATTACTATGTTCTTATTGCCCCTAGGTTGATAGTGATCGTGTGTGCAAACTGTGACATATTATTTGTCATGGATTTCTTTAATTTTTGTATATTTTGTTTTGTTTTTTGATTATTTATATGCATAGTATATTTACTATTTAGTTTGTATTATAACATTTAAAATAGCAGTCATCCCGGATCTGAGATTGATAACTATGATTTAACAAAGGACTGACTATAGGCTAATTGATAGACTTGATTCGTAAGTGATGAATGATAAAGTTCTTAATGTGCTGTCACCAAAAGAAAATTTCAAAGGAATAATACAAATACAATGTCACCTGTTAATCATGCTTAGAGATTGTTGAAATTGCACGGTAGAGATGGAGGAAAAGACAGAACAAACTCTGAAAAATAATATAATATTAAAATATTTTAATTGATGTCATGCAAAAGCAATGCACTAACCCTTATTTATACTAAATTACTAATAATAGATATTAGATTAGATTCTTGATCCTAACTAATTAAGGAAACAAATTATACTTTATAATAAAAGAGTTAATCATTCATACACTGCCAGTGTAAAGTTTTTTACACTAGCAACCAATCATATCTTTTAAATTATTTTATTTTATTATTATTTCATTAAATAAGCAAATGACATGGCATTATTTAAAAATATGATTGGTTGCCAGTGTAAAAAATCTTTACACTGACTGTGTATAGGTGATTAACTCATAACAAAATATGATCCTATTCCTAAAAGGTCATATAAAAATATGTAAACATATTTTGATAAAATAATTTATAATGATATGATGAGATGTTCTCCATGATATTTTAAGAGCCTGTTTTATTCTCTCTCTCTCTCTCTTTTAATTTCAAAAATGGTTTTCTAAAACAGTTTTACTCTTTTCAATAACGAATTTCTTATTTAAAATCTATTAAATTTTGAAAGTTTTTTGTAAACATAGTGTTTTAAAATTAAAAAGCAGAAACAGCTATTAATTGTTTTCTCTTCCTCTTCTTTTGTTTTCTTCCTTGTCCACAACTTTCTATGGGTCCCTCAACTATGATCTTGTTCCAGCAGTTGCGAGAAGCTGTGTACTAGTTGTAGTTTCTTTTTACTACATCGAGAGCTCAGTCACAGGAGAGAGAGAGGGAGGGAGAGAGAAGCTTGAGTGAGAGTGTGAGGGCTCAGGAGCATGCCATTGATCGAAGGAAGAGAACATTTGAGCGAGAAGGCAGAAAACATGCTACTGTGAAAAAGTTGCACCCATCCTCTGTTTGTAAGTGTGTTTCAGGAAGGAGTCCAAGCATACGACACACTCTGTTTGCGCAATGTGAAAAGAGGAAGTTCTTAGTTCACAGGGAATGCAATTTTTACCATCAAACAATTTTTTTAAAAAACAGTAAACAAACAAGGCCTACCAGTCTCTCATACTGAAGTTTACTAGGCTTTAAGCTTGTTACAATTACACACTCTCAAGGGAGAAAAAATAAATTTAAAGGGTGGTAGGTGAATAGGTGATAAATTTGGGAATAGGGATGAGACCAGAGCATCTGTGTTTGGAGACGAGTTGAGAGTAGGCCAGAGACAGGGGGACCAGATGGTAGGCCATGTCTGGAATTGGAGAAGTGACAGACCACATCTAGGACAAATAATTGGGACTAGACACCTGCTGTGCTTGCATTAGACAGGAGCCATACAGGAGCCTAAAACAATGACAGGCCATAGATAACCACAACAAAGAGCACCAAGAAACAATTCAAAATTGTCAAACTTGATGAACAGGGAGAGAATGTCAGTGTTGACCATTGGACCACTAAACTGCTGTCCAAGGTAGCCAAACAGCCACAGGAAGGTCAGGAACAGGCGCAAGGGGGTCTGGAAAGGAGAAGATGGTGAGGCAGGGAACAGATGGCAACTGGAGAAGGCTTAAAAGAATAGGACAAAAGCAGCAGCTATGAAAAAGGTGAAAGATGTTTGGGATTAATGACACGCTACCTGAAGTTGGTGAAACTAGACCTATGATGTTGAAACAGAACACGGAGCCATTATTGAGAAGATAGCAGAATAGGACCAGTAGCATTATGATCTAAAAAGATTGAGAGGGGCATACAAACTACATGCATTGACAGGAAAGGGTGCATGAGCATGCATGGATGGGCCTCTAGCTACAGAGCTTGGAAGGACAGCTAATTGGCAACATGACAGTGAAATAGTGATGGGATATAGGTCATTGGGGATTGTACTGTTCTAATACATAGTTAAAATTATAGTAGGAAAGGAGGAAGGATGAAGAGAGACAACAAATGCTGAGTAATAAATTAATATTAATATATGTGTAATGACATGATGCTAAATCAAGGCATTAACCTTTTTCTATCAATTCTGGACTCCTGATCCTAACTAATTTAGGAATCTAATGAGATAGAATAACTTAAGTATTCCTCAAAGATAGGATATGTCAACATATGATATGATATAATAATGATAAGATGAGATATTTAGATATTCTAATGATCCATGTCTTTGTGCATCTTTTTTATGCATGTTTGGGTTATGCTCCGTTTTACAGGGAGTGAAATACTCTGGTTAATCTTTGATTCTTCCTCTTTCTTTTACATTCTGTTTATAATTAAATATTTCTTTCATAATGCATACTTTCAGTCTTCGATTATGAACTTTGAGTTTGTTGTTCTGATTCTCATTTTCCTCTTGAATATTGAAATTGTCTTATTTTTCATACTTTTTGATTAGGATGCTCTTGAAGAGAAAAGTGTACTTCTTTACATCTTTCTCATGTGTTTTTCCTATGATACAATGTTTAATGTTATTATCGCTATGCTCATGGATCGTGAAATACGGTGTCTTCAATTGTTATGCAGGTGATAGAGGCACAGCCTGACATGCCCACTGTTGGAGTTGTAACTTTATATTCATCCCTTCTCACCTTTACTCTTCATGTCCACCCTGACCGACTTGATTATGCTGATCAAGTTTTGGTATGTTTTATTGAAACTGTTTCAGCACATTCATGTTAACTTTTTGATTCATACAATTAATCTTACCTAAATGTAGCCATTGACATTGTTTTATTTCTTAACTCCTGGCTATACACTAATACCCTTTCAAAGAAAGACACAATTTTGATAGAATTTTATGTATTAGAATATAGTTGCTGCATTTAATGCATGTACATTTGATTGAATATTTAGCAACAGTTTTTTTTTTTTTTTTTTTTTTTTTTTTTTTTTTTTAAATGTAAGGAAGCAAACTTATTACTTTGCTTTCTCAGCCCCGTGCTCTGACTGTGTTTGCTTGTTAGGGAGCATGTGTGAAAAAACTCTCTGGCAAAGGGAAAATCGAGGACAACAGGGCAACCAAGCAGATTGTTGCTCTATTAAGTGCCCCACTAGAGAAATATAACGATATTATGATTGCTTTGAAGCTTTCAAATTATCCTCGCATAATGGAATACCTTGATATTCCAACTACTAAGGTCATGGCAACTGTTATTATTCAGAGCATTATGAAAAATGGAACACGCATTTCTACTTCAGAAAAGGTATGTTATATTTTACTTGTCTGCTTGTCGGTTCAAGTTCTTATTATAACATAGCATGATTTGTTTGTAGGTTGAAGCATTGTTTGAACTTTTAAAGGGGCTTATCAAGGATTCTGATGGTATTCCAAATAATGAGGTCAGTTCAGTACCATGACTACTCTCATGAGGCTATTTCTACAATGCCCATTTGACTTCTTCCATTACATGTCAGATGTCACTTTTATAATATAATGTTTTATATGTTCTTATAAATTTAAGATAAATATTCCTTATTTTTCTGAACAGTTTTTTCCGTGCATTATACTTATTTTTCCTCCTTTGCCCTAGTTGGATGAAGATGATTTCAAAGAGGAGCAGAATTCTGTTTCCCGTCTAATCCAGATGCTTTATAATGATGATCCAGAAGAAATGTTTAAGGTGAATTTCTTATATCCATTTGTTATGATGATGATGATCAAAACAAATATGTTTTGTACTATTTTTTTTGTCTGCTGGAGATTTTCTCTTTCAAACTCCAATTAATAATTTCAGCTGACTTCACTTTTTACATGCTAGTGCTTCTGTACTGAAAGCTGCACATGGATTTTACCCAGGCTAATATTAGAAAAGAAATCTTTGTTAAAAACTAAAATGAAATTAACTTGGGGTATTACTTTAACATTTTAATTTAGATCATTGCTGGTCATGGACTCCTGTAAATATGAATGATTTTATGTTATTTTAATGTTTCTAACTAGAGCATAATGATGCTTGATATGTTGCCTGTGACTGCAAACTACATTGTTGACCCCCTATTCAGGGGGGTAGGGGGTTGTGTTAGTATTTTATGAGTTCAACCTTTAATTTGTGTCATAATTTTCATGCTCTAAATTGCAGATCATAGATACTGTGAGGAAGCACATACTGGCTGGAGGACCAAAACGTCTCCCTTTCACTGTTCCACCTCTTGTTTTTTCTTCTTTAAAGGTTTGGCAGACCTTTTTGATTAATTGCCTGTTTTTATTTTGTGATGTTTTGCTTTGTTTGTTTCTTACATCATGATGAATTGATGGTGCTGGCAGCAAGCATAAGTTGGAGACCAAATCTATTTAGCTTCTTGGCTTGGTTTTGATGTTGAGGTTGATTGACATATTTCTTTGATTTTACTACATAATTTATTTGGAATCTTGGATTATAGCTTACTTAACATACTTAACATGCTTACTTCATGCTAGAAGCTTGAGTTGATAATTAACTTGTCCTCTATTTGACATCTTCGATAAAAGAGGCAAATGGGTTAGTTAGTTGTAAACATCATCAGATAAGAATTTTATCTTTCTATTTCCAGCTTGCAGGAGTCATATTGGGAGCTCCATTGCTCATTGAGATAAAGTGGCACAATGAGCCTTGGTATCTAAATCAAATTCAAAATGCCAAGACTCATCATATTATCTTTTACTTGATGATTTCCAGTGTTGTTCCCCTGTTTTATCTTAAATGAAAATGAAAATGAAAATGAAAATGGATGTCTTCTACTATTCTGCTTTTTTTTTTTTAATAATGCAAAATAGTATATTTATTCTGTGTATGTTACTTTCCTATTACAGTTGGTCAGACAATTGCAAGGTCAGGAAGAAAATCCTTTTGGAGATGATGCATCAACAACACCGAAGAAAATTTTTCAGCTTCTAAATCAGGTAATGCTTTTTTTTTTCTCCCTTAATAAAAGGATGTGGGTTTTTGTTTTTTTTAATGGTGATTTATGCCAGCATAATTTTGTATAAATGATGATTGAATATTTAATTATATAGACTGAAGATTTGTTGGTACAACAACTAATACTCTAAACAGTTGACATTTGCATGATTTCTCTGTTTTAGGTTTGTGTCCAATGTATTTTTAAAATATTATGCATAATTAATTGGCTAATTTGTTTGATGGTACTTTTGTTTTTCTCAGACCATTGAGACCTTGTCAGGTGTCCTGGCACCAGAATTAGCCCTGCAGTTGTACTTGCAATGTGCTGAGGTATTAGAATATATTTGGTTATTAGCAATTAGCATATCAAAATGATATTTCCAAACTAAATTTGCTAATTTTATTGTTTCTGTTCTTGCATTAGGCTGCAAATGACTGTGATTTGGAACCCGTTGCTTATGAATTTTTCACTCAAGCTTATATTCTATATGAAGAAGAAATTTCTGTAAGTACCCCCTAATAGTTTTGTACTTCTCTCCCTTCCCAAGAAAACAGTCCTGTTTTCTTTCATTGGATTGTACCGAGTTTGGAGGAGGAATGTCTGTGTTGACAAAAATTTACGAGTTAGCTGTGCTCAACTATGCATTTATGTTTTTTATAATAGGATTCCAGAGCACAGATCACAGCGATCCATTTAATAATAGGAACTCTTCAAAGGATGCATGTCTTTGGTGTTGAAAACAGGGATACTTTAACTCACAAGGCCACAGGGGTGATTATTGAACTTCGTTGTTTACATAGTGCTTTATATGTTTCTCTACTACATCCTCATTTTTGGTGCCTTCTCATTCGACAGTATTCAGCAAAGCTTTTAAAGAAGCCAGATCAATGCAGAGCTGTGTACGCATGCTCACATTTGTTTTGGGTTGATGATCATGATAACATGAAAGATGGAGAGAGGTTTGTTTCCATTGACACTTCTAAGGAATGCTTGTTTCTTTGCAGTGCTATGCTTGTTAGATTGTTCAGGGTTTTGTGGTTGCTGTTTGGTCGAACAGAAATAGTTGGTGAATTTTAATTGTTTGCCCGCCCAAATAATCCTATTGTAGTTAATTCCATCTCAAATTTATAGAACTATGAGCTACATATGTAGCTATCTAGTATCGCGTACATTTTACACGTATTTGTATATATTTCAGTATACTTAATGTTGATTGAAGATATTTGAGGATTGATCAAAATAATAAAGGAAACTAAATATCGTCTTTGCTTCTAAATTCTAATTAAAGAGGGGGGGAAGTATTGATTTAATATAAAGGACATGTTACAAAATGAAGACGTGCGGCTGCATAAGAAAGAGAGTACATATAAATGATATGATGTTTTCAAGAATGAAGACTTGAATTTATAATATATGGTATTAGATAAGAGTAAGAATGATTTTGTCAATGCTGCCGACCCTCAAGGGAATGAATATATATTTACATTGACCATGCAGAACATTATAAGCTGGAAAAGCAGGGTGAGGAGAGAAAAATATATGTAGGAATTTGGGAATTTTTTTCTTTTATTTATCTTATCTTGATTCTTAATGTTTTTGTCGTTATATTCTAAAATTTTGAACCAGGGTCCTATTGTGTCTCAAGCGGGCTTTAAGAATTGCAAATGCTGCCCAACAAATGGCAAATGCAGCACGAGGTAGCACCGGATCAGTAATGCTCTTCATTGAGATATTGAACAAGTAAGATTAACATCTATAATCACGAGTCAGCGTTGTTTATTTTTAGTATTTTGCTTCGCAACAGTAAAAAATGGAATAATGATAATGTGTATGTTTTTTCTAGGTATCTTTACTTCTTTGAGAAGGGAAACCTACAAATCACCGTTGCTGCTATCCAGGGCTTGATTGAGTTAATTATGAATGAAATGCAGAGTGACAGCACAACTCCAGATCCAGCTGCCGATGCTTTCTTAGCCAGTACTATGCGATACATAGAGTTCCAGAAACAAAAAGGTGGCACAGTTGGCGAGAAGTATGAAGCCATCAAGGTTTCACATGCTGGATGAGTGATATTCTCATGTTAGATTTTGAAACAATTTGTTCTTGGGCTGTTCAGCAACTGATTTCAATTGTCTTTGGATTTCAACTGAAGAACCACAAGTTTGTGTGTTCCTGATATGTGCTGGCAGCAAAACTACTCGGTCATTGAGTTAGGACTCCCATTCACTGTGTAGCTAAACAGACCGAGTCACTATTAAACATTGCTAGATTTTTTCCCCCCTCAATTTTACATAAGTTAAGTGAAATTATTTGTAGTACAGTTGCTATATTTTAATTCTTAAAAGTGTGCACAAGTGTTTACACGGATTTGTGGATTTCCAGTGCAGAGTCTCTATAGTCAGACAATTAGTCTATGTGTTACGATTTTTTTAATACTTGTAAATTAAATTGTAAAAACAAAATTTTAGAAAGAGGTGGAAGAGGAATAAAAAATTGAAGGAAAAAAGTCTAGAGATGATTTGTGTTTTGATTTTAAAAACTAAAGACTTATTATAAGAAAATTAAAAGTTACTTTGATGTTCTTTAAGGTTTCTTTTGGGAAAAATTAAAAACAAATTCGGTTTTTTTTTATAATAGAATTCTCTTATTATGGGGTTTATTATTATTATTATTATTATCATTTAACTAGTTTGTATTAAGTATTATGGATTATTGGTACATTTTTAGGTAGGAATGGAATGTTGGATATTTTTGGATGCTTTGCTGTCTTTCAGATTTATCATCTCGCTCTTTGGCTTTATTTATCTTTATATTAATTTCGAAGTTAAATTCTTCGAATAATTGAGGGATAATAAAAAATTGTAAGAATTGAGACCGGTATTGGATTCTTGTTTTAGATATGAAGTTAGGATTAGATATATTATTTTATCTTTGCAAGGGTCAATCCAATTGAGAAAGAATTATACCTTTTAAAAAAATCTTTTTCTTTGTAAGGTCAATCCAAAGGGAAAGAATCATACCTTTTTAAAAAATATATACATAAGAATTGAGACAGGTGAATGCAACTGAAAACGCATGTAAACACGTTGGTTAAAGATTACAAAAATGGGGCTAAGCAAGAGTACCGCAGTCGCGCATGTTTCTAAAGGCTGAGTTATTAGATTTTCAATAGTTTAAAACATGATTAGTAATTTCATATTCCTATATTTTTATAGTGTTCCGCTTCATACATTCTGTCTTTCAAATAGGGTAATCCATAAGTGTATCTGCTTCATGTTTTGGCTTCTAACAAGAAAGGTTATTTGATTGCTTATTGTTTTGCTCCATAGTTGTAGTTCAATAAGTTATTAACATTATTAACAAGAAAGGTTACGATTCGGCAAAACCAATCATCAACCCGAGTCTCGTCTATAATTGACTCGGTGAAAATCGTAGTTCTCACTTCCCGCGCTATTGTAGGCGTGATTCTCATGCAACATAAACCATAATTATACATGAAGAAAAATCCATTTTCATAAACCAAAATAGATTTGACTTTTCATAACACTAATAATTTTCCTTTGCGTACTATTCGTACCTTGTAATTAGAATGGATAAAAAAGTAACGTTGGTTGACATTGTAATCTGAATTTTATGAAATTGACTTGCAAAAACTCAACCCACTAAACACCTTACTAAGGTCAGGTCAACGCCCAGAGATTAGCACAACACATAAAAAAGGGCAGTCACTCGTCATAAAAAAATTTAATGGATGAAGAAAAACTTTTGTTGGCGTTTGTTATTCGAGGCACTTGGGATTTGTCATGGAGACAACGTGAATAAAAATAATACGAGGAAAGGAAGAAACTGCTTCAACCTAACTATTCTGTTCGGCCAAATGACAACTAAGAAACAACTAAACCTGTGCACACGGCCAAGCCTTGAATCGAAATATAATATAATTTAAATATATATCTTCAAGCAAACAAGGTCGTTATCCTAACTGGGATATTCCAGTCTATTAATACATAAATCAAAACGGAAGTTATAAGAAAAAGGTGGGAACCATGAAATGCAAATTTGACTATTATAGTTGACAATAATTCAAAGAAAGCAAAGCATTAAACCACCTTATGCTTCAAGGAGATCTAGAGTATTTGTCCGAGGAACACCCACATAAACTCCAACTTCTTCAATAGCAAAGAAATGATAAAAAGAAAGAAGGGGAGGGTAATACAGGTAGAACAAAGGGCAGTCAAATGTTAACACCTAGTGGATCACAATATTGAACAGGCCTTTTGTGCTTTACCCTTCTTTTTCTTTTGCTTAGGTGGTTGAAGGACAACTCTTATGGCTGCATCAAAGACTGCCTTCACGTTCTGCAATAAATGCCACAAATAAATTTAAAAATATTGCATTAACCATTGTGATTTAAGGGGGGAAAAAAGAAGAAGAGAAGAAACACATTCAACCATGTACCTCCTGTGATTTCGAACTGCATTCGATGTAAGCTGGTGCATTAATCAGCTTCCTAAGCTCTTCTCCCTTTAAGGGAATGCACATGTCAGATTTAATTTATTAAATAACTAAACGAAGATTCCAGGGCAGAAGCAATATTCACCTGAGCTGAGGTAATAGGCACGGCACCAGGATGGTCAATGCAGAACTGCTTATCATCCCGAAGGTCTACCTCATTCCAAATCACAAAATAATATGGAACAGACTCTTAGTGGAGGAAACCATTCATATAATATGCACCAGTCAAGAAACTTAAACAACCATTTGTCCACTCAAAAGAACAAAAAAGGCTATGAACCTCACTGGAAGATTATTTGAAAATTTGAATACATGTCTAGAGGCAGGGCCAGCCTATCAATGTATGAATAAAACTAACAACCAACCAGAAACGTCAACAAGCGCTGATCCTAATGGCTGTAACAGTTAAGTTGAAAAAACAATTGGGAAGAAAATCTAAAGAAAAAAGAATAAAATGCACCAGAAATCCACCCGCTTCCGGCCAAAAAAAACAATCTGGTTCAGCAGTTCATCACTAAGATAATGGAAAGTTCAAAATTAGAATGTTGCACTTGTATCTAAAATCAACATTTACCAATCATGAAATCCACAGGGTTAAGTTCATACATAATGTAGCAATCTAACGAATGCATGGTATGACCATATCAGTATCACATAATGTAGCAATAAACTTACCGAGCTTTGTGCCAACCAGAATTATGGGGACACCAGGTGCATAATGCTTCAACTCTGGAATCCACTGAAAACCAAACCAACCAACACAAGCAATTCATCACCTTTTTTTTATTTTTTTTTATAAATGAAATATTTTCGTAACATAAAACATCCTTCATTACATGCCACACGGAAACCTTATATTATTTTCAAATGAATGAAGAGAAAACACATTCAAAACACCGGAAGTACCTTTTTAGAGACATTTTCATAACTGGCCTTACTTATGAGAGAGAAAGCCAGTATGAAAACATCCGCACCACGGTAACTCAAAGGTCTTAATCTGTTATAATCCTCTTGTCCTGTTCCACAAACAACACAATAAATCCAGAGAAAACTTCCAACATCACAAAGCTCACAGAGACACAATCACGCAGCATTACCAGCAGTATCCCACAAACCCAGATTCACAATGCTCCCATTGACAACCACATTTGCGCTGAAGTTGTCAAAAACAGTCGGCACATAATCCTGTTTCAACAAAAAACCCCAGTGAAAACAAAAAAACGACAATGCCTCTCTTTTCCACCAAACATTCAAACACAAAGTTACCAATTATACTAAATTCAGACCCATTTAAATTCAACACATGTAGTAAGCCCATGAAACATGACCCATTACCTCCCAAATGAAGATAACATGCAAATGCAACCAAACTTTCATTTTCCCGGAATTCAACAAACACCCAGAACCAAAAATTTGATTTTTTCTAAAAAAATGGAAAATTAGAAAGGAGAAATAACTAACGGTGGGGAAAGTGTTGCTGGTGTAGGAAATAAGCAAGCAGGTTTTGCCCACAGCACCGTCCCCAACAGTGACGCACTTGATGAACCTAGAAGCGCTCATCTTTGGAACTCGGAGTAAAGAAAAGAAACGCGAAAAGCCTCAGATCTTCACCTGAGGACCCGATCACACACCCCCTCCAACTTCTTCTTCGTCTTCTGTCTCAATTACACATCTGCGCCAAGCAACGCACGCACACACGCACACAAACAAAAAAAGGAATGAATGAAAATGGAAGAGAAAGAGGAATGTGAGAGAGAGAGGAAATGGGTTGCGAAAAAACGAACCCTAGCTGCGAAAATGCGGAAAGAGAAAGGGGGAATGGAAAAAGGAGAGAGGAGGAAACCCTAACAAACAGAGGCTGAGAGAGGAGAAGGCATTGACGGAGGAGAGAGAGAGAAAGAGGGAACCTTTTTGGCCCGCGAGTTTTTCCTGTTGAACCGTTCTCTCATTACGATTACAAACTCAACTCTTTTTTTATTCTTCAAATCAAATTCATACCATTTTAAGTTTAACTTCCCCTTTTAATCGCACACAATTTCGGATCCTCTTCCATCAATTCGTGGTCACCCCTCTTCTTAATCTCATTATTCTTACTCTTACTTTTACATTTTTAAATTCATTATGCTTTCACGCAAACTCGCCCTAAAATCATATCTAATAAAAGCTTATTCAACTTGCAACCAAATATAGCCATTGCCCCCACAAAAAGAAAGCACACGAGTTTTTATATTAAACAAATTTGTTTCATTCAAATTCTAGATGGAAGAATAGTAAAGCCTTTTCAAAAATATTCTTATTTCTATTTTTAAATTTAAAAATGCAAGAGTAAGATAAATAATTTTTGAAAATTTTCTCCTCTCCTTATAAATCAAATAAGAAAATAGTTATATCTCTTTCTCTCCATTAAAGTTTTTCTCTTCCTTGCAAGTTGCAACCAAACAAAATTTCAAAGTAGATGAAAAAATAATTTGAACTTTTTTTAAAATTATCTTTATAATTTTTTAAAATAATTTTCTCTCTTTTCACTTAATTTTTTTTATAATCTAGTTAACTAATATTTAAAAAGAGAAAGATGAGAGAAATATAAATATGTCATTTCTAGTGATTTATGATTAATTAATAATGTAAAAGATTTTACACTAACAATACATAATTATTAAATTCAAAGATACAATAAATTTTATTACCAAAGATTATTAATAAAATAGTCATGTACTTGTACTTATTAATCAATGACTGAGATTCACTCTTTAATTTGGACATAAAATCACGATTAGATATATTACTTTACTTCTATAAAGGTTAATTCGATAGAAAGAGTTATACTTCTTTGTTAAAATAAAAAAGTCTTATTTTAAAGTATATTTAACAACTTTGAAAGCATTAACATAAGCTTAATAACTAAAATTTTACATCATAATCTTAAATTTAAATTTTATTGTTGTCAATGTACACACACACAAAAAAAATTCTTACAATATTCCTTGTTTTAAAATAAAATAATGATACATATACAACTATTTAAGAATTACTATGATTGACCTAATAGTAAAGGGGTCAAAGTAGTGTTGTTGTCGATGTAATTCAAATTCATGAAAGAAATATACAACTTATATTACATTATTTTCTCATTGTAATTTTTAAATATCTAATTATTTTTAGTATAAAGTAAATAAACTTGAATATTTATTAAAAATATAAATGTATTTAGTTTATATAAAAAAAATAGTTTACCAAGCAAAGGTTATAGAATAATGTAATATACTAATAATTTATTATTATATAATGTATTATCTATGATATTAAGCCATGGTTGCCCTTAAAGTCCCTCCACTTCCCATCAACTCCGCATTTCTGTAACCCTAAACTTTTAATCAAAATTGCTGTAAAAATACCACTTTTAATCAAAATTTAAAGAACATACAGATATACCTAACTTTTTTCTTTTTCAACAATGTCAATATATCTATTTTCTGGTACAACGTACCAGCATGTTGTGAAACTCACTAAAGATATACATTAAGAGCAAACATCATTGATTGATTAGGATGTCTAATGAATATGAAACGCCAACCAACAAAATTTATGATTACCATTATATTGATAGTAGACACCAAACTTGTATATTCATTTTTTCTTGTTTCTTCTGTTGGGCTTTCATATACAACGGTAAGTACGCTATCTGATTTGAAACTTAATCCGCAAAACAAAAAGAATGTAAATGACTATAATTAAATCAAGAACGATATAAAAAATTTCCAATATTCTTTATTTTTTTAAAATTATGATATTGATGTGAAATATCTACCAATTTCATTGATCTTTATTGAAAAATTCCATTGGCCACATTTAGTAGCTATGTGCAAACATTTTTTTATATAATTAAAGAGTATTGATAATTACTATTCTAACTGAAACCCTAATTTAAATAATAAGATTAATTAAATATTTTTTGTGATTGTATGTATAAATTTTTTAATAGTTAATTCAACTAAAATTTGGTTGTGTTGTAAAATAAACAGTGTAAACTTTACAACCAAATATTTGAAGAAAATTATTATGGTTAGTCACTTGTAGTCATAAATAAGCATATCTTAACTTTTATCCTAATTGTGATATTGCGGATTAAAATAAAACTATTTTATTTGGTATCAAATATGTACTTAAAAATTGCATCTCTTATTGATTTTGTACTTAAAAATATCATAAATGTGTGCATATGCTCATGGCTTAGTGAAAAATTCTCGTCTTGAGTTATATTCTTTGTTTTTTTACCGTGTAAAAATAATATGCACTATTTTGGATATTTAGCTACTGTCTTGGTTGATAAAAAAGCTTTCTTTGTGACTTTTATGACTAAAATGTTATATACATGATTATACATAATAGTATATAAACTTTTCATCTTGCATGTGTTTTTGGCCTTTTTCTCTGTATAAATGTGGTGTTGTTATGGATATTTTGGTTCTTGAAAAATAATGTTCCTATGTGTATTTGAATGTATTTTTAGTTTAAATTTGATCGGGTTTTGTTTGAGAATGATTTGAGCCTAAAATGGCCAAAGCCCTAAAAATCTCTCAAGCCTTAATCTTAAAAAAGATTAAAGCTTGGACTTCTGAATTATGGATCCCTAAACCTTCCATATTTGTTATCGTGACGACAATCTAGTTGATACATTAAATAAAATTATAAACATTCAAATGGTTTATATGGTTGGTTTATTGGGCTGCAACTAGAATCATGTACCTGTTCTAAAAATATGAAAAAATCATTTCCTATTTTTGTTGGTAATGATTGAATTATAAACTCTTTTTTTTTTGGGAATAAATTGTAGATGATAATAGATTGGGGATGAAGCTAAAACCTTGTTTCTATCTTTTTGTTTTCCCAGTTATCATTCAATAGCGTTCTTGAAGCTAAAGGAAAATCTTCTGGTTGTATTAGATGAAATGGTAGGGAAACTAGATTGCATATAGTTTAGGGAAGCTAAAGGGAAACTATCTTAACCCTCAATAGAGATACAATTTGCAGCAAAATAGAAAACATACCGTGGATACTGCTGCTCCGTCATGTTCAAATGCAATTTAGGCAGATTTAGACATTATTCTTAGTAACCTTTTAGCTGTTTAGGAATCTGTAATATCAAATTTGGATTTTGTACATGAACTTATTTGTTTATCAGACAATAGATTTTGCATTGGTAGATAGGAAATTTTTCGGCGATAATGCAACTATATTTGTGAAGAATGGTAAATTGGTAATCAATTAATTATATATACATCGTAGTTCTTTTTTGTTTTCCAGGCACAACATGGTCCTTTACTTTTATAAGTATTATATTTGGTTTATTACACTACATTCTCCGCATGAAAATTATAATCGTCCATTTCTAAACTCCATGCAGTATATGCAACTGTAACAGTTGGCTTCCACACCCCCAATGGAACTGTTTTCATTTAATTATATTAGAATTTGAGGAATCATCTTATTCTTCATGCCACTGAGTTCTCTTAACTGTTACTTCAGAACAAGAGATTATTTTGCATCCATCAGGTTTAGGTTGTTGCCTTTAATTTAACCATACCCCCACCTCCCCCCAAAACAGAAACAGAGATAAATTTCAGCATTGTTATGAGCAACAAAAAAGATGAGAAGATCAGAAGAATATGATCTGCTCAAATGATAATTATTGATCATTCCTCAATTTCTAATAATACAACTTCGTAATAGACTCTTGCATACATAATGGGGGCCATGGTTGGCAGCCAAAGTACACAAGAAATATACAAGTGAGGTTATCACAACATACAAAAAACCCACTAAACGGAATTGGATAAAGCTGCAATAGAAACATGGAGCACAAAAATCAAGATTTACAGAATGCATGAAGCGTATCGTCTAGGGCCTTTCTGTCATAATCCCCCGTGAAAACACAATTTCCCAGAGGACCCTTTAGAAGGATAAGCCTTAGCAACCCATCTGCTACCTTCTTATCCACCTGATATACCAAAATAAATGAACCATAAACCCTACTAAACAGAAATTAAACATTAAAAAGGTACTGAGAATCAAGCATCGGTCATTACCGCCATGACAGATTTAAACATGTCCACAGTCATGGTCTCAGGAGGAGCTGTAGGTAACTTAGCCTGTTTTAAAATGTCTCCAACTCGCTTCACAATAGAATCATCAATCCAACCTAGGCGATAGGACATGTCAACAGCCATTACCTGTGTACATGGCAAACAGGTTCCTCAAAATAGACCTATAGTATTAAACACAAAATTCACGATATTATTTTGTTAAAAGAATTACCGTGCCAGCTGCAACAGCCTCTCCGTGAAGCCACTGCCCATAGCCAACCCCAGTTTCTATTGCCTAAAATAAGTGCCACAGAAAGAGTTAAAATCAGAGGAAAATTTACTGAAAAGGAAAATGCATAAAACAAACATTTTTGGGAATAGTTCAATGTCACAACAAAAAAACAAACATTTTGGATTTTTAACCATTATATTTTAAAACCTATAACATTTAAAGAACTTGAGAGACTGTCTAATAAAGAGGATGTAAAGAATCTATAATAAAGAGGAGTTCTAGCAACATACTCTTTCTAACACATTCTACTATTGCATAAAATTTATTGAAAACTACAAAACTAGAGAGAGTCATTAAATAAGAAGTAAGACCCCCACAAAAAATTATGATTTCCAATAAATTTCATCAGTGTGTTAAATATTGTATTGTTAGCATTTCTCAATAAGATGATAACCAGTAACAGACAATAATCACTTACATGACCAAATGTATGACCCAAGTTCAATGTTGCCCTCAGTCCACTTTCCTTCTCATCTAAGGAAACAACCTCAGCCTTGTTTTCACAAGATCGCTTTATAGCATATGCCAGTGCACTAGGATCTCTGCAGTGGATGAAATTAACTTGTAAAAACTAGAACAATGAAAGGGCAACGTGAAAGCAGTTGCACAACATTTTGATAAAAATGAATGGACCAATGGAACAAGAAACTATGTGGCACTAATAAGCTATGATGCACGGGTAAACCAAAAATTGTATCTGAATCACATATTCATATAATATATCAGTACTTGGTATTTTTGGTGTATCACTTTTTTGGATATCCGTCATCTTCCCAGTATTTACCAACCTCAATTACTACGTATTACATAGGGACTTGAGAGAGGGGGAACACAATGAACCTTGAATATGGATAAGATAACCACGTGTAAGTAGTTTTATTTTATTTTTACTTATATAACATATCTTGTTTAATATATAGGTATTCCTGTATCTTAAACTTCTCAAGAAAACTATTGCATTGTATCATATCGGATATATTAATTTGTACCTGTGCAACATAGGTAATAAATAATGTCAAGTCATAAAGCTCAAGCTTGGGGTACTTTTTCCAGCCAAAATACACAGTTTTTAACATAAATCTCCCAGACAATTAGCTTTTGTGACCTCTTAGATGTTTCACCTATCAGTAATGAAAATGGAATGGAACGCACTAATAGCAGGAACAAAAGCTTATAACAGCACAGTACTTAATTAAAAATTTACCTTGCCAGTAATGCCTGCATATTTTCCTCTTGCCACTCAAAAAACTCTGCATCCCTAATGAGGCCATACTTTATAACCTCTGCAAACCCTGATGCCAGTTCCCTATCTGGTAACGTATTTAATGTGTCTGTGTCTACAAGCACACACTGAGGTTGGTAAAAAGCCCCGATCAGGTTCTTTCCAAGGTGATGATTTATCCCAGTTTTGCCACCAACTGAAGAATCGACCTGGGAACATAATAAACAGGGAATGGAACAACATAGATAGAGTGGAGACTAGAACCATTAACAGTAGCTCGAGCCACAAGAGGTTAAATAAACATATAACAATAAAAGTAGTTTAAAAAAAAGCAGCAAAAGACCTGTGCCATCACAGTGGTAGGAATCTGAATAAAATTAACACCACGTAGGAAGGAAGCAGCAGCAAAGCCACACATGTCACCAATCACACCGCCACCAAGGGCAACAAATGTACACCGCCTGTCCAGTCGCGACTCGATGGCCTTGTCGAAGACTTTCATAAGAGTATCCTATCAGTCAAACACAAACACTTTCTTATGTAATTCCCAAAAGCACCAACAAGCACCACACCCAATTCGAACACAGACGACCTACCATGTCCTTGTACTGCTCACCATCAGGTAAAATTACACTCTCCACAGAAACATTTGGGTTTCCCCTTGTCAAAGCATCTACAACCTTGTCTAGATAAAGTGGTGCAACCGTTTTGTTGGTTACAACTAGGACCCTCTTCCCATGAACATGCCTATTACAACACAATTATCTAGTAAGAATAGAGCACTTTAGAATAAACATTAAACAAGTAATAAAATTCATGCCTTATTAGAAACTTCAATTATTGGAAGTAAGTACAAGAAGAAAAAAAAAATAGGATTCTCATCTAAATTCAACTTCTTCCATAAGCTAAAATCAACTTATGTCCTTAACTTTTATAGGAGCTAAGAAATTCAATTCATTTTACCTTCTTCTTTTCTTCGTCTTCTTCTTTTAAAAGAGTCTGATTAGATGAATTTCTCCATAAAATATGAAAGAAAATCCATAAATTAAAATTAGTTTATGTATGAGCTAATTTGTAGAAGTTCTCTCATGTCAGTTTCTCCAAAAACTTTTTTCTTTTAAGTTGTGCATAAGCTAATTTTATCTTGTCAAGAAGCTAATTTTATTTTTCCTTTCTATTTTCTTCTACTAAAGAGTGTTTCTGAAGACGTTTACTCACACAGTCTCTATGTCCTAGCTCGGAAATAAATTTATTCAAACATGCCAAAGTAAGACACAATACACTCCACATTGCACAATAGAAAATTCCGAAAGTGCAAATCCACATACACACATATCGGAAACAATTACAGGAAAAAGATAAACACAATTAAGTTAAAGATATTGAATTGATGAAGTAATCATTACCTCTGGAGATAGTCTGGTTCGTGTAGCAACCCGGATCCGATATAAATGGGATAGCTCCGATTGCCCAAATCGACTTGGACGATTTCGGGAAGTGCAGGTTGGGATTTAGCAGCGAAGGGATCCATGACTTGGGACGACGATGATGAGGCGCATATCCTTGATTTGCGAGCGGTGGAAACAGAGGCCCAAAGCCAGTTATTGGAGTTGAAGTGGAGGTGGGTCTTGGGAAGGGAGAAGAAAGAGGATTTAGGGATTGGGGTTTGTTGGTTGGTGCGGAGGGAGAGAGAGAGATGGGGGGG